CGCTGAGCCTCCTTATAAATAATCCAAGCTGTGTCACCAATTTCAGCATTGACTCTTTCTCCATCCTTACTCATGCTCATTCTTTATTAGATTTGAAGGCACCGGAAACGATCTATGTCAGGTTCAAACAGACATTCCCTCTGTAAACAGAGGGGATGTCTGTTAGAGCTTGACATAATTTCCATTGATTATTCTACCTTTATTTCATTACTTGCTTAAGTTTCATATTTTATATTTTATATTGTATTATTTAGTGTTCGCTCGATTTCAGTTCTGTTGAATAAGGGCGAAACCAGTTGGCTGGTTAATTTTTTTCTTTTCTTTTTTTAATCATGAATGGTAAAGCTCGTCTTGCCGTTTTTATTTCCATAAGAGATAGATCATAAATGTATGACTATGAGTTCAATGAAATTATTTTCATGTTTATTTTTACGTTTTCTATGTTTTCTGTTGGGTTTTTGTACTTTACAGTGTGTATATGAATGTTGCTGAAAATCCACTATCTTTTGTCTCTGTCATGCTAATCGCAACCGCCATATCCTGGCGATTAAAAGCAATCGTCAGGGCATGAAGGTTGCGTTTAAGTTTGAAACAGACCGTCGTCTCTGGGTGTTGACTTCAATGTCCACTTATATATACATATATATATTGACATCACTCAGTTTGCTGTATAACAGCAACCGACCTGAACGTTGCTCAGCGATGATCGCATGTGAACTCTCCAGGTTAAATGTCGACCTTACTGCCCTTGGCGAGGTCCGCTTCCCAGGCGAAGGCAGCCTCTAGGAGCATGGCGCTGGATACACCCTCTTCTGTTCAGGGAATGCTGCCAGAGAAGGGCGTCTTTCAGGCGTCGTCTTCATGGTCAGCACCACCATTGCCTCCAGGCTGGAAAATCTGCCAAACTGTCATTCCGACTGCATGCTATCCATGCGCCTCCCTCTGAAGAAAAAACAGTATGCAACGTTTTTTTGTGTGTACTCTACAACTCGACAAGCTGAACCTGCAGAAAAAGACTACTTGAAGATCCGCAGCCGTTTCCAAAGCACCCCTGCAGACGACAAGGTGATGATCCGTTACAATTTCAATTCCAGAGTGGGCCAAGGTGCAGATGCCTCGAAAAGAGTACTTGGCAGACCCGACGTTGGTAACTGCAATGACAACAGGCGCTTGCTGCTGGAGCTTTGCACTGAGCAGCAATTTGTCATCAACAACAGTAACACCATCTTCCAGCAGAAAGACAGTCTTAAAACAACCTGGATACGGTGTTTACTCATTCCCCCACGAGAATAAGATGTGACACAAGGTCTTTTTAAAGTGGGTATCCGAGCGCGTACACCCTAACAAGGGACAAAAATTGGCCTCAGCCCCCACAACTATTGGTTGCGCTGGCTTCGGTGCGAGCATCGATCCCTCTCTCTTGTGCAATGGGAGAGCGCGGCCTCGGGCAGCTGTTCCCCAGGGCTGGGCAGCTCTCAGTATAATTTTCTCAGTTGTCCCTCTGTCCTTTGACAGAGAAGCCCCTGTGCGCACTCTGCCCTAAGAGAAGATAAGCCTGCGTTGAAGATCCCTCCAAAACAACCTGGATATATCATTTGCACCTCATAGACTATGTTATTGTATACCAGCGAAGCCTCAAAGACGTCCTTCATGCAGAAGTGATGTCCAGAGTAGAATATCACACCGACCATCATCTAGTGCGCTGCAAACATCGACTGCACTTCAAACCCAAATCAAGGAAGGAAGGGCTCCCCAAGAAAAAGTTCAACCTGATCAAGCTTCAGTCAGCTGACTTTCAGGCCGGCCTACAGTCCAAACTTGAAAACGGCGACTGCCCAGTAAACCCCTCTCCTAAAAACACTCTGGGATCAGCTGAAGACTGCCATCCGGCAGACATCTAAAGAATTTCTGGGGTTTACCATCAGGAAGAACAAAGACTGGTTCGATGCAAACAATCAAGAGATTCGGTAACTGCAGGCAAAGAATATATCAGCCCACTAGGCCCATCTGACTCAGCCGTCATGTTCTGTAAGAAGGGCTGCATTCTCTCCAGGACCCGGCAGTACTCCGCAACTCTCAGCAGCCAGTTAGGGCAGAAGTAAATGAACTACCCTCTGTGGAAGAAGTTACCAAAGCTATAGAACAAGTGAGGAGTGGTAAGGGGGTCGACGGGATTCCATCAGGGATCTGGAAAGATGGAGGACCATCATTACACAGCAAGCTCCAGGAACTTCTTTTCAGTTGCTCCGAGCAGGGCAAACTTCCTAGTGACCTCCACGATGCAGTCATCATTCACACACACACACATATATATATATATATACTCATATACATATATACGCACACACATAGATATATATATACACTCAGCATATATATATATATATATACTCATATACATATATACGCACACACGTAGATATATATATATACAGAGCATGCATATATATATATATATATATATATGACAGGATTGCACAAGTGCATTTGGAAAGATGAAGGATTACATTAATGTTCTTGTTTTCTTCTAATCTGTCTGTCTGGGAACATACAAACTTCCTAGTAACCTCCTCAATGAATATTCGATATTACAGAAAATCTCGTCAAAACAAGGGGAAAAGTCAGATTGCTTCAACTACCGGGGGATCACTCTGCTCTCCATCGCAGCAAAAATCCTTGCTCGTGTGCTCCTGAACAGATTGGTGCCCACTATTCCTGAAGACCACTTACCAGAAATTCACTGTGGGCTTTCAGAGCCAATAGGAGGCACAACAGACACCACAGACATGGTCCTCAGGCAGCTTCAAGAGAAATTCCGGGAGCAGAACAAAGGACTGTACGTAACGTTTATGGATCTGACCAAAGCGTTTGATTCAGTGAGCAGAAAGAGACTGTGGATGATCATGAAGCGCCTTGGATGTACGCCCGCCCAAAGTTCCCTAGAAGTCATCCAACTTCACAAAGACCAGGGCGGCCAAGACATATTGAACAGCAACCTATACAGACCCTTCCCTATTGTCAACGGCGAGAGACAGGGTTGTGTCCTGGCACCGATTCTGTTTAGCATCTTTTTCAGCGTGATGCTGAAACAGGCCACAGAAGACTTCGACGATGACGGTGCTGTGTACATCCGCTACCGGATTGACAGCAGTCTATTTAACCTCAGGAGACTGCAGACCCGCTCAAAGACACACAAACAATGTTCCATGACCTTCTCTTCGCCGACGACGCTGTCCTGGTCCCCCACACCGAAAGAGCCCTGCATCACCTAACGTCCTCCTTTGCAGATGCTCCTCGGCTCTTCGGACTCGAGGTCAGCTTGAAGAAGATGGAGGTCATCCACCAGGCGACACTCTGAGAAGAGTATCGCCTTCCCCCACGTCATCGTCGGTGAGACTGAGCTGAAAGCAGTTCTCCAGTACACTTACCTGGGGTGTACCATCACATTGGATGCCAAGATCGACAGCGAAGTAGACAACAGACTGGCCAAGATAGCAGCGCTTATGCCAGACTCTACAAAATAGTCTGGGACAGCAAGTATCTGAAGAAGGGCATTAAGAACAGAGACTGCAGAGCCGTCGTACTCACCACCCTGCTGTACGACTCTGAGTCGTGGTTAACCTATCGCCAACATCTACGACTCCTTGAGCGCTTCCAACAGCTTCCTCGTACCATCCTCAACATTCACTGGAGTGACTACGTCGCCAACGCTAAGGTCCGCGAACAGTCGGAAATAACCAGCATTAAAAAGCCATGTTGCTGAAGTCACAGCTACGATGGGCAGGGCACGTCTCCAGAATGGGGGAATTCGTTCCCAAGATAGCCCTGTAAGGCGTACTCTCCTCTGGCCACCGTGACAGAGGGGCGCAAAAAGAAGCGTTATAAATGACTCCCTCAAGAAGTCCCTCGGTACCTGCCACATTGAACATGGCCAGTGGTCGACACTTGCTGCTGACCATTAAGCCTGACGCCGAACCATTCACGTTTTTTTTTTCGCAGGGCCAAAATGAAGGAGAAACGCCGCATTAAGAAAAGACCGGAAACCACAGCAGCTATACCAGACCAGACCAGACCAGACCAGACCAGACATTGCAGTCGCTGCGACCGGACTTGCCTGTCCCGCATCGGCCTAGTCGGCTATCAGCGTGCCTGCAGCCGATGTGGGCAGCCCACTTCATAAATCTTCGTTCACGAAGCCAGGCCAAGATATAAAGTGTGGTTTTGTAAAAAGTGACTATTACGGCTAATAATGCAAGACTCTTCGGTAAATCGAATCGAGTTCTCTCAGTCACTGTGTGTTTATCTAAAAATAAATACACTTAAATTCACCTTCATCCTGCCGTGCGCCAACGGCTTAGTGGTAGAATCCCGACTGATGCCAATTCAGTCGGGTTTCGATCCTAGCTAGAGGCAACTGGACGTCTAGCCACACTGATGAGCTATGATACAGTGAAACAGTCTGTCTGTGGATATATATATATATATATATATAAGATGTGATCTGTATTTATGATTATATATATATATATATAGATATATATAAATGTGCTATTTTGTCATCGAAGTCAACACCTGTGTTATGCTAAACGTCCTCGTTTTTATTGAAAAATCAATACTCTGGATGCAATTGGAATAGTCTACCACCGCAGTTTGGAATTCCTCGTCAGTCAAATGTCTTGATTAAGGTTCAAACAACGGCCAAAACGTTGAGATAACAACAAAGATGAGGACAATAATCCGTATGCAAATACCGTGAAATATTTTATGCTCCAATTGTTTCCACTAATTTTGGATAATTAATTTCGTCCACCTAAAATTCAGAACTGATTCCCCATCAAAAAAGTAAGTACCAACCAAAATGAGTGTTTAGAATTAAATATACTTTCCAGTGACGTTTTCAAATGTTACGCCAATGTAAAGATTTGAGAATCAGTTACATGTATATAAAGCAAATAGGGATTAAATGTTACAATGTTTGGCACAAGAACACCTTATTTGAGCACTGTATAGGATTGAACAAATGTTAACTATTTATAAACATATGTAAATAATTACTGAGAAATTTATTCTGATATTTGCACATATAGACACGCATCACGCACATGTCCCATATATCATACTTCTTATAAAATTTCAGGTTGTGTGTGTGTGTGTAATTGTACAAGTATTGGATGTTGAAATCGGTTGAAAAACGTAGGAACATTTTTCAACCAATTTCAACAAAACTTCACAGGACTACGTAAAATTACCTTGCGGTGGTTCTGACAGCACCAAAAATTGGAAAAAACACAATTGTTTTTGCACGAAATCAATTTGAAAACATGATTAAGGCATCGCTGTCTGAGAATGAAAGAAGACAACTCATATCGAGTTATACTTATTATAAAACCCAGGTTGTGTTGTGTGTGTGTGTGTGTGTGTGTGTGTGTGTGTGTGTGTGTGTGTGTGTGTGTGTTCGTTTATATATGGGATCGGATTTCCTACATTTTCAACCGATTTCAACAAAACTTTTTTTTTTTTTGGCAGGTAGTGTTTCTTATTGTCTTGCACAATTTTTTTTTTTTTTTTTATTCAGAATGCTTTAAAATTCCATTTACAAGACAATTGTTTATAATAAAATTCTTTTCAATCGATAGACAAACAATTGAAAACAATGTTTTTTTGTTTGAGTTTGGGTTTGACCAATTCGTAAAAAAAAAAAAAAAAAAAACTAATTAAGACATGCGTATCCGTCAACCTTAAACAATAATCTTTGTCAATTTTATTTTCAGTCTTTATGATGGTCGATACTTGATCTATCTCTTACTGTTACATCCCCGGGCAACGCCGGACTCTACTACTAGTATATATATATATATATATATATATATATATATATATATATATATATATATATGAATTTAAGTGAACGTAATGGATTGTGGAATCGGAGACATTTTGTCCCCAATTCCAGTCGAATCCAATTACATTCACTTTATATGGTAATACCAAACTTGGGAAAGGTGTGAATGAACTGTCTTCTTTTGTCCAGCTATGGGTAACAAGCAACAGCCTTGGATGGCAACTGGTCTGTGGAGGAGGACAACTCTGAGTTCAAAACCAGTGGAGGGTCGTTTAGGGACAGGTTTGGAACGGAGAGACCACAGGTCTTTATTTTGCCCTCCGAAAAGTGTGGATGAAAAGCACATTCCTATCAGCATTATATTCAAAATCTCATGTGCAAAGGTCTGTGAAGGTGTTTCAAACTTCCTTGGAACTGATCTGTTGTCATACGTTTTGTTCGACGGGAGAGTCGAATATATAAGTGTGCGAACAAAGACAAAAAAAATTACCTAAGCCGAAAATTTCGTCCTTTGGTGAATATTATCAAGGCAAATGCAAGGATTTTTAATTTTGTTAATGATAAAGTCGCTCAAAATTTGTTTGGCGTCAATAAAAATAAGTTTTCCTTTTTCTTTATTCATATTGTAATTTTAAAGATCATAACCTTTTTGAAATTTTTACGTATATATACATGTGCATACACTCTACAAAATACTAATGCACACTCACACATACACACATTTATATATATACTCATATACATATATACGCACACATATAATATATATATATATTTTCTATATATATATATATATATATATATATATATATATATATGTATATATATACACACACATATATATATATATATATATATATATATATATATATATATATATATATATATATATATATATATATATATATGAAGAAGCTTGATATGCGAGTGTGCATTTGGATTTGTACGTGATTGCATTACTGTTCTTGTTTTCTTCCAACCTGTCTGTCTGAAACATACGCGTTTCTATAAGCATCCTCAGAAAATATTCGATATTACAGAAAATCACGTCAATACAAATTAATAGGCACAACGTCGCCATAGTGCATTTGAGTGAGTTGATGCATTCGTACTTTGCCCCTTTGTACCATACAAATATAACAAAAAAATTTATTTTTTTCCATTTTTTCTCTTACGTTCATCTGTTAAGATGGAGGAAATGTGTACCTCCAGAATCAATTGGAAAAATCTCTTTCTTTGTAAGCATAGAGGCTAAGATCTTCCTTATTTTATCTCGATTTTCTTTCTCTTCTCTCTCTCTCTCTCTTTCTCTCTCTCTCTCTTTGAGATTATTTTACCAATTACAGTATTTCTATATTTTCTTTTTTTTTTTTTTGTTAATTCTACTAAGTGCCAAAATGTATTTCATTTATTCGTATGGCACCATAGCGACTGGGTGTCTTACGATTCAAAATGTTTATTTATTTATTTATTTATTTATTTATTTAAAGGAGCATAACAAAAGTACGACCTATTTTCAAATACGTTAAATCTAAAGCTATAATGTCTTCTTTGGCATGAAGCAAGACTTAAAGAAAAAAGAAAAATCACTTTCTTCTTTTTTATTAATCTTCTCCCTCGTTTTGCTTCTCTTTCATTTTCTTCTTTCTCAATTCTGATTCCTATCTCTCATTCTCACTAATTATGGGCCGGAATTATTAAGTAAATTAAAATTATTTTGTTGTTGTTAAAGTGTTCTTCGTTATGTCTGTTGCTATTTAGTAAAAAAAAGTTTGCTGAAGTCTTATATGCTTAGCACTATACATACTCGTTAATCCGGGCACTTTTGGACAGGAGTTGAAAAATATGTTAGGGGCATTCAAAATTTCGTATAATGATAAAATTCTGTCAAAATTAAAAAATTATCAGAAAAAAAAAAGAAAGTCATTTTCTGAATTATATCGCCAAAATGTACAATTCATGCGCTTTGTTCAAGGTTTTGTCCAGTTAATTCTTCTTACGAAAAAAAAATGCATCATTTTTTAACTGTTACCGGCTGACTTCGTGTTTTTCTACCGCTAACTCACGAAACTGGATTAAAATAGATTCATTTGTAGGGCTAGTTATTATCTGAAAGCGCCAAAAACATTTGTTAAATATAATCAGCGTTTCGGTGTTTGAAATTGAAAATTTGAACATTGATTAAAAATTTCCTTTAAGAATTTAACGCTATATCGGAGATTAAATATTAGATAAAACTGGTTTAGTCAAAATAACGGAAAAATGTTATATCCAGAATTTAAGTATGTCTGTCCGTTTGAGGTTCAGATAATACAAGTCCGGGAAATACTAGTATACTTATAGCTGTCGAAATATTGCATTTGATGCATCAGGACATGCAAATTTAATGAAATTATATTATCATATTTATCAGGTACAAAAAAAGAATTATGCTATCAGGTTTTGATAGAAGCAGCCCATAACTTTGCAAGCGGGACTCGTTAAAAAACTTTTAAAAATGGATAATCTAGTTTGGGAAAAGAATTCAACTGAATTATCACAAGTAATTAAATTGTATAAATGAATTAAAATTTTAACCTTCAAACTTAATAAAGCAAATTTCTGACACCGGCCATTTTTTTCAATCAAACTAAATTTCATAAACAGAGATGATTAGTTTTATTATTATTATTATTATTATTGTTGTTGTTGTTGTTTTTGTGTTATGTTTCCTGCTTTATATCTTGGATTGAGGAATCGGAATTCGAGTTCGAATTCAGTCGAATCCAATAAATTCACTTACGTGCTAATAAAGCTTAAAGAAAAGGTATGAATCTAAATATCTTGGCCTGAAGAGGCACCTAATTCATAGAGTAATAGATAAAAAAGACTTGGATTGAGGAATCGGAGGCCGAGTTCGAATTCCAGTCGAAATCCATTACATTCACTTACGTGCTAATACCATTGGGAACGGTATGAACCCTATACTTCTTCCCCTAGCTATGGGAAAATAGCAGGACAGACCGAGTTCTATAGCCTTGGATGGCAATTGGTCTACCGCAGAAAGAAATGGCAACCTACTGCGGGAAAAAATCTGCCCCCTCAGTCATGTATCGGAAGATACATGATAGCCTAAGCGTGTATCACGCATAACGCATAACAAACTGATTCTGTAGAGCCGGGTCCAAACTATGGTCCTTAGGCCTTACAGGAGGATTGCCATTTAATTGATAGCGTTTTTCTTATTATATGTGATGTTCCTATTAGGGCGATCTTCTGGGCATCTTGTATGTTGATGTTACCTGGGACACTGTTAGTAAAACTGCCCATTCCTTTTCTCATGAGGTCCAGAGCTGATTATACATAATTAGTACAGTCTCAGTCTTCATTCCACACATTCTGTTAATCTCGATCTCCAGGTCCTTGTTTTTGGACAATTTATCGATATTTTTTTATGGGGGTATCTCTCTGAGATGGTTCTGCTCTACCAATAAATACTGACTTCCTGAATTTCTTGTCTTTTATTATTATTATTATTATTATTATTATTATTATTATTATTATTGCTTTGTGTTGTGTCGTAAATCGGAATAGGTTGACACACATATAGAAAGTAAGATCCAGTGATTAGACCCAAAGAGTTGTAAGTTCAATACCAGGTAAAACTTGGAGAGTTGAGTTAAATAAATGAGACATCCGGAATGTTGGAAATGAGATGGTAATCTTTATAACATCAATAACATACAATACTCGCCAGCAGCATGAAGTAGGTAAACCACTTGCTTTCAGAGGTGGACTACTTAGACAGCATATTGCCCCCACTTACAATAGTGTCCAACGTATTTATGAGGATTGTTTCTGTTGTGGTACGATCCACCTAATTTACATAGTGGAGTACCGACCATATAAATATGGGTTGGTACCGGGAAGACGGGGGAAGTAAGAAGAGATCCAATCCAGAGACTCTGCCCGACTGCGATTAAGTCAACCCATTCTACAGGAACAGTCTTCCCAAGAATATACCAAAACTAACTGTAAATAATGTGTACCTTTTCCTTGTTTCAATACATTTTGTTTACGTACATTTTGTGTTGTATTATTATTATTCCATACTTATCCAATCTTCAACAGTTTTATACCCAATATTGTTCATAGGTACGGTATATAACAGTCTTCTTCTTCTTCTTCTTCTTCTTCTTCTTCTTCTTCTTCTTCTTCCTAATATGATTGTCCCTTTCACTCATTATTTTCTTCCTCTTTATCTCCATCGTTCCTCTACCCATATTCCTACTAGCAGACATACTGCATCAATTTGCTTTCATTCAGTCCCCTCCTGACACAGTCATTTAATTCTTAAAAAAAAATTTTAGATAACTTTGTTAACACAGAATCACAAAGATGGCTGTCCATTGCAAAAAGAAACCCACATTTCAATGGCAGAATCTTTTTCTCTTTTTCTTTTACTTCTCTTTTCTATATCTCTAACAGACCAATGTCGTTATTTTTTCTCCTCGCCTTTAATACAAACTGTTTATATTTGGTAAAACGGGAATATCGAAAGGTTGTCAGTTTTGCTGTCTTTGGAGAAAAGGTCCTTTTGATAAATGATATATGACTTTTTTTTCCGTTAGTAAATGCATGAAAGAAAGCCTCGATGGGACCATTAGTGACCCAAGGTGGAACTCTTACCGAGAGGGACAAACAAGATTTTGCACTCAAAGAAAAGCTACAATATTGTCATGCCTTTTTCTTTATACTGGGATAGCTGCTCATAACATTAAAACTTTTCCCTTTCGATTGATGTAAATCAGAGTGATAGGCATCTCAGAGAAGTGGGCAAAGCTGAATCAGGGTCATCGGGATGTCGCATATATAAAAGGCCTTTAAAAGCTTCCTTGTCTAAACTGAAAAGCGTGGATATTCCAGAATGCTTTTCAGAAAGGTAGCAACCTCTTGTACGAGATGACAGGCTAAATATGTTTCTTTTATATATCTATATATATACTTTTTTTGATGTGCGTCATCTGTTTCAAGTAAAAATATTCCTCGCTTTCCATACTTGTTTTGAAGCAAATTCAAAATGGATGCTTATACAAATGTGGGGATAAATTCAAATATTTGTGTTTGTTGGAGTTGAAAGGTGTTTTTAGATTTTTGGCAATCAGAAAGTCAAGTTCGTTAGAATATATATTTTAGAAATGTGTTCTCTTCCAAATAAGAGATATGTGCTTGAAAAATTAAAAAACAAACAAAGATAAGGAAAACACAAATAGAAACAGCTACGCAAAAGTATATATATATATATATATATATATATATATATATATATATATATATATATATATATATATATATATAAAGATTGTTAAAAAAATTTGCTTTGTTTAGCGTCGAAGTGATAAAAGATTCTGATGTTTTAAAATCAGATTATGTTTTTATGGATTATTAAATTACTTGTCAATAACCCATTTGTTTACAAAAAATAATATATATATATATATATATATATATATATATATATATATATATATAATTAAAAAAATTAAAGGAATCTTTAAAATATTAAATGTTATTTTGAAATTTATTTTATTTTTTTAAGATGTGTATTGAACAAATTTTAATTCTACTTTTTTTTGTTCTAATTCAACTCTAAAAGAAAAATTAACCTTATATATATATATATATATTGATGATTCTAGATAGATAGATAGATAGATAAATTTATTATTGTTATTAATAAATAAAAACATTTAAAATCGCCAATTCTATTTCAAATCAGACTTTAAGTTAATTTTTATCAAAATTAAGGTATCTTGACAAGAATGTTTACATAGATCATATTATCTTTTTATAATACACAAACACGTTTTTCAGTTAGAAGCGCGCGTGGGAACGAAAATACTGGTCACACACACACACACACACACATATATAAATATATTTATTGAAGGCTACCAATGCTTTAACAAACCTTTGCCATCGCTTGTGGAATTTAAAACATTCGACTGGATACGAAAATTCGGGTTTACAGAAATGTTGTACTTGTCTCCTTTTTTATGGCTCAGAGTCGTGAACTCCATTTTATCATATACGCCAATATAGATGTTTCCCATAAAAGTGTTTGCGTGCAATCTGTGGAGTTAAACTTCAAAAACTAACGTAGACCTGTTTAACAAATGTAATAAAAAGAATCGAGATTTTTTTTTCAAAGTCTCAGTTACGATGGACTGGTCATGTCATAAGAATGTCTGATGACAGGATACCCAAGATCCTAATGTACAGCCAGTTAGAAAGGTTGGGCTACAGGAATGTAGGACGCCCATAGATATATAAAGACAAGCTGAAAAAAAACTTGTCAGCTGTCAATATACTATTAATAACATGCGTTGAGCGCTTAGCCTTGGAGCAAATAGAATGGAGATTAACGTGTTTTAAAGTGAGCAGTTTTTAATCTTCTTGACGAATCATCTTCAAGAAGTGCGAGCAAGAACTAAAAGGTCAGACAATCTAACAGTGATCTCTTCTCCCAATCCTCACATCAAGTTCCCTATATATATATCCGTTGTAAATCACTAGCGGGTCTTAAATGCCATTAAGATTATCGCAAAAAAATTTCATAATTAAATCAGTTAAGTTGTCAGATCCTTAATACGTCGAAACCGACAAAGATGAAACAGCA